AAAGGTATAGAGTACTGGGAGTGTATGATCTTTGACTCATGCATAGAGCACAAAGATGCAGTTAGCTATAAATAGTATGCAGGAGTAATGCAACCATTACTATATTCTGCTATGATTGCACTGCTGTTCTGCAAGACAGACATGAAATCCAGGCCTATTCTTCATCAGCAGAATTAAAAACAAGTTTGTCTACACACAGAGATCCATAAATAAAATGGTTTATGTGGAAGATACTCTTATCCATCTGTATTTAAGCCTGATCCATCACCCACTAATGGCAATAGAAATATTCCTACCGACTCAATTAAATGTTGGACCGAACTATTTATGCTACCTCTGTTGTCAGGGAAGTGGATTTTTTCCTTTCAACAGGTAACATAATCCCTTACTTACTGTTCAATTATTTTGTATATATATTTAAAGCTTCTGCATGAGGGGCATAACTGTTTGGTAGATGTCAGTATGAACACAACCTGGATAAGAAATTGTAAACATTCACAAAAGACTCCAAAACCAAGTATTCCTGACTTGTCAGAATGTACACATCTGATGAGAAGCCAATTTTACCATGGAAGGATTAAACTAAAACTTTGAACGGGCCGTTCAGCTTTGGTACAAGGGGTTTAGGGCAACTCTAACTCTAGCATCCTTGGTCTCTCAGGTTGAAGTTTGACAAGGATCTGGCCTGGCACTACACCAGAACCAAAACCTGTCATCTCTTCTTCATCTATTTTCTCTTTCCCACCTTCTCCCTCTCTTGTGCCAGTGTCTGCGTAGCAAGTGCACAACAAAATGGTTTAAAGACCTGATCTCACTGAAAAATATTGCAGGGGAATGCTTGGCTGTTAGCCAGGTCAGTTTTCTCAGTGTGTTTCACTGTCTGGCACAAACACAGGCACACAGAGGCACTACCAGCTTAAATGTGTACTGTACTGTAACTTTGGAAACCAAAGACCAGATAGGGATAAATGACTTACGCTGGATTGTTTTTTAGCCTACTGTCTTCAAAAGTACTGTTCACATGCTAACTTCTATTTAACATGCACAGAAAAGGTAGACTGAATTGCACCTCACCAGATAAGCCTAATGGTTTATATAACCTCATATTCTATTTCAACAAAAAATGGTTATTTCAGACAAAGACAAATATCTCATAGTGGACTACTAAGCAAAGAGGCAACCTAAAAAGTTTTGTGGTTTTTTTTTGGTGTGTTTTTTTTTTTTTTTTTTTTTTACTGTGTCCCCTTAAGCATCAGGCTTTATCACAGCTATCAGTATTTATGCTAGCTAGCTTGAAGTATTTATTTATTTATTTATTTTCCCCTCAGCACTTTGGCTCGATCATGTGTTTGAGTGAGCAGTTCCCCGCCTGAATAAGCTTCGTATGTGGGAAAAAAAAAAAACAACCCGAAATTGAACTTGCTACACACTTGCTTTCTCTTCTCACAACTTTTCTACTACTGATTTACAGACATTTTACGTATTTCTTCATGTCTGTTATCGCATTTCTATGCACTATAACTACACACACATACCGAGGGCAGAGTTTAACAGTCCTCCCTTTTGGCAGCGAGGCCGGCCGATGTGATTGCCGGCTGCCCCCTCTCCTGTCCCACACCTGTTCCTCCGGG